TATATATATATATATCTTTGTAAATCCCTTTTTATATTAGTAATGTATTTTTTAAATAACTCTTTATCCCTTGTCAGCCTCTCTCTATTGTTCTTTCTCAATATTTTTTGCATATACATCTTTCTATCATTATATATATATCTTTTTTATCCAAATTGTCTTCCTTTGTCTTCCTTTATACATTAGAAATGTTTTTAACACAAAACATAAAAAGCAAGACTTAACATTATTTTCTTGGTACTTAATTTTTTGCTTACTTTTGGAAAATAATTGATACACACTCAATTCAAAACACTTTTTAACACTCATCTAGTTTGGCTATTAAAATATAATACAAGTACAATATGAGTTAGTCAATTCTTGTATCCTATATACAATACTGCATCTTTAAATTTATCTGCTTTTAATTTCATATTAGAAATAATAATTTTTTAATGAGTATGTTATACAGTATGTTAATAGAAGTGTGTATCAATTAGTGTCCCCAACCTTTAGTCTACCTTTTATTAATTTTTGTTGAGACTCCATCTCTTGGCTTCCCCCTCACATTTTATATCATTATATTTAATTCTCTACCATACAATTATTCTTTCTTTTATTATACTCCCATCTCTATCATTTTTTCTTAAACATTCTATTTATCTCAATATAGCATTATATATCTATTTTGACCATTTTTCTCTATTTAACATATTTTTATTAAAAAAGTTTTATGTCAAAATATAAGGGACATAGCTTAGTATTATTCTTCTAATACTTTTTCACTTGCTTTTACTTTACTTCTATCTTTCTTCTTTTTTTTTTTTTTTATTTGAAACTCTATTTCTTCACTTCCCCTCTCTTTTCCTCTCTATATTAATTTTTTTTTTTGTTCTTTCACCTTTCTAAGCTTTCTTTCTATATTATTATTTCTTAATCATTTCATGTAGGAAAAAGTATTATGCAGTCCAAATTGTATTGGATTGCACAACTATAACTATTGGATAAGTGTGGGTCCCCTGATATTAGCACCCAACTCCCCATCCAATGACCCTTGTTTTATAATCTGGTGATATCCAGACTATTTACAAGGCACTTTTCCTTGTATCTCAATTTATCATTATATATCTTTTTTACCCTTATTATCCTCTCTCTCTTATTGTCACTGTAGAAATGTTTTGGTTAAAACAGAACTGGCACACATTTTTTTATATTATTCTCTAGTTATTGTTTAGTTACCTTCACTTTGCTTTGTTCATTATTAATTAATCTTATGACTCAATCTCTCAACTTCTCCCTCAACTTTTTATCTTTCTACCCTACATTTGCCCTCCCTTTGCCTCTTTAGATTATTTTTTCTTACAACTCAATCCTCCTTTGGGTTATCTTTTATATATTTTTTCTCTTTTTAATAGGAGAAATTCAATATTAACATCCCAACAAAAGTTTTAATAAAATTTCATCACAAAATTTGCTAACTTTACTTATAGTACTTAATAGGTTGAATTCTTATGCATAATATGATACTAATTTAGGCTTAATTTGATTAATATTTGAATGGATTTAATATTATATTACTCAATTCTACCTTATTTTCTTTATTTGTGTAGGATAGAACTTAATTTTTAAAAATCATAAGTTTGGTGCTAAATCACAATGTTTCATAAAGTAAAAGGATGAATC